AAGCCCGCCGGTGGCGGGCTGGGGCCTCGGGGGGGGGGCCCCGGAGGCTGCGGGACCGAACCTGCAGGGCGCCCTGGGGAAACCAGGAGCGGTTTCCTCGGCCTCTGTCGCCTCCGCTTCTTCTAACGTACAGATCCTTTGAGTGTGTTGGCGCAGCTTTGCCGTGTAACGCCGTTCTGCACAGGCACAGTTTCATGGGCGTGGAGAGTATGCGTAATGCTACCCTGCAAGGAAAGGAAAATACAGCAATAGAAATATTAATAGCAATAGAAAAATGCTCTTGCATTATTATTTTCCGTGCACTGTGTTAAACTTGTGTGGGTTTTGATTTGAATAATGTTAATTTAGGGGCAACGTTAATGGAACTAACAGCCTATGACGGCGTTTTTATGTTCTTTGCTATTTAAAGACGTTAAACGGTTTGCAGTTGATATCTCAAAGGTGGAAAGAAAGAAGATTCAGTAACAACTTTTTAGCATTATGGGTCTTGCTATTTATGTTTTAGTACTGAAGAACACTTAAGTGATAATAAAGGGAAAGAATGCATACCCACGTGTGTTTCTTGCGTTCTCCAACTTTTTACCCATACAAGTAGAAAGAGTTAAAAAAAAAAAAGTTGCTGACATTCTTAGTTGAATGTTTATATCTACGGTCTGTCTTGGTAATTCTGGGTAGTAATTTAACTTCTTTTCCTCCTTGGAACATCCCAACATCCTTGCTGAACTTAGATTTCACTTTAAATATATTTAACTGAAGTGGACTTTAATTCCTGTATGTACGTCCACAGAACTATGATATGCTTTTAAAATATTTTATTTTAAAAAAGATGTAACCATCTCTTCCCTTTGATGTTTGAGTCCACGTGGTATTTAGGATCTCTCATTTGAAGCTGTAGGAGGCCTGTTTTGAAAATGTTGATGGAATTGTACATCAAGTATGGAACTTCACTGAAGACCCAGCTTCATCCATTTAATCTGTGGTGGAAAAGGAGCAGAAGTGTCTGCTCTTGGCTTGTTAGCATGTGCTAATGTCTAGCCCTCTGAGGAAACCACTAGGCCAGAATTTCTCAATCTTTCAAAGTTTTGGTCCATCCAGAAGAGAGGTGTGTGCTCACTCTTAAGTTAGACATATTGCACATTGCTTAAGATCATAAAAGCAATTGTAGTAGGTCAGGTGAAAGCCCAGCATCCTGTGTCAGCTGCAGGACGAGCTAAGATTTAACAGTGTAAGCACATAGTGATACTTTCTCAGAATGTTTTTAATGATTTTCAGCCCAGGACCTCATTAGCCATGGTCGTTGCCTTTGTGTCTGAGAGCCCTTGGTGGATTTCCTCCCTCCCCTTCAATTTGTTATGTTGGTTTTTGGAGTCCACATCAGCTTTTGGTATCTACAGCATCCTGCAGCAAGCTGTTCCACAGCTTAACCGGGGCCTCGGGCCAGTAAGGGAGGAAGGAGGGGAGAGGAAGACTTCCTTTTTTTTGTGTTATACCATCTACCTTCTAGTTTCATCTGACACCTCTTGGTTTCTGTACTTGAACGCATAGGAGATTCCTGTTCACCTTTTCTGTGCCAGTCATGGATTTTATAGATTATACCTTCCCTATACTCTTCCCTTCCTTACCTTGAAGATTATGGCATAAAATCTCAAAATCCTTTGTTCTGTGAGCTGCTGGACCACAGGTAGCCTGTATGCTGCAATTTAAACCACTGGATTAGCCAGTTAATACCAAAACTGGTTCTGTTAATCTGTGGGGTTTGTTAATTTACTGTATAACTGAGAAAATAACTTTCTTTTTTTTTCTCTTTTCTCTTTAAGAACATGAAAGTGACGATGATTCCTATGAAGTGTTGGATTTAACAGAATATGCGCGGCGTCACCATTGGTGGAATCGTGTGTTTGGACGGAATTCAGGACCAATTGTAGAAAAATACTCAGTAGCTACCCAGATTGTGATGGGCGGCGTGACTGGCTGGTGAGGGAGCATCACTTTTCGTAACTGGGCTAGACCTTTTACTGTTCTTAGAAGATACCTTTCCAAGGCTATTTGAAGCAGACAAATGTATCCCCTCTTAACAGGATTTCCTTTATCATTGATCAAGATTATTCATGCGTGAACAGTTTCTTAACTCATTACTCGTGACTCATCGTTCTGAAGTGTTTTGTAGTATTGGTAAAACACCGGTTAGCTAAGGGAACTCATACCAGTTATTCTGAAGAGGATTTGGGGAAGTGTCAGAACTCTAGAAGTACAAGGAATAAATGGAAAACTACTGCATATAACTTTTCTTTGCAATGAAAAGCTTATTTCCTTACTAGTATAGATTTAGAAACCCAGTTACGATATTATGGCTAAAACATATTTTATAGGTAAAAGAAATGAAGAAAAAAAAGTGTGGCAGAATATACTTTTAATTAAAAGCCCCATTTTATAGAGACTTTTTTTTCCTCTAAATTCAGCTGGAGCCATTTTGAACAAGTTAACAGTCTGCTCTCATGTAAACTGAAGAGAGATACCTCAGCATAGTTATGCTAAAATAATTCATGGTGAAAGCTAGACAGTAAGGATGAGAACTTAAACTGGAAAATGTGGCCTCAGTCTTAGCAGCTACATCAAGGTATTAGTTATTTGTCAAAAGTATTTGAATGGTATTTTCTATTCCAGTATTCTAAAAAAATTTAAATTCAGTGAAAAACAACATTATGGTAGCACAGTAACTTTTAAAACAGAATTGTGCAAGATTTGGAAGATGAAATAGACTAAAAATGAAATTGTTATGTCCAGGCTTAGTACAGCTTTGAGGAGTGTAGGCTTAGCTTTTAGTCTAATTTTTTTATTTGCCTCTGTAGCCTTGAAGTTATTTTTAAAAGTTAGATGTGTATACATAAACTCTGAAGCTTCCAGGGAATAGTTCATCTTGCATACATAAAAACTGGCTTCTTGAAAAATCTGGGAACTGTGTATTTCGGTATCTGTAGACGTATATAAATAGGAATTCACTATTCATATGCAGGGGGTAAAAATTCCCTTGTGTTTGTGGGCTGGTGGGGGGCGTGGGTCAGACGCCAGCAGAGCTCCCCAGAGAAGTTATGGAACCGTCAGCCTTGGAAATGTTCAACGCTTGCCTGAGTTAGGATCCTGAGCAACCTGACTGAGCTGGGAGATTGGATCGGATTTTGCGGCTGGCCCAGTTTTGGGAAGGTGGCTAGACCAGATGACCTCCAGAGGTCCCTTCCTGCCCAAACTATTCTATGATATCGAAATCTGTGTTGTTCTCTATTTGATGTGGGAGTGTTTGGAGGCTGTGAACAAGATACTAATTTTCTGGTTGCTTTGATCCAATAGACTAAGGCCATGTCCCAGTAGAGGGGCCCTGCTGATTTTAGCTGGTAGGGAGTTTTTACCTGTAGTATTTAAGTTATGGTTTGAGTATGTAATAAGTTAATATAAATGACAGTATATGATATATACTTTCTATTTGGAAACAGTTATAGTGGCACTTTTATATTATTACATTGTGCTTTATTAACATGCTACATTTTAATAGCAGCATACAGTCATGAAGTAGCAACCATTACTCATGTTGTCTTGTGTTAGATACTGTTAATTAAATGTTGTTTGTATTAAATATTCTTCTTTTAAAATTTAAAAATCTGAAATGATACATTTCCTTTGTTAAATGAAAAAATAGTAATAGTTCCAGTCAGGAATTTTGAAGAGTGGCATTGTTCAGCAGACGCCTTCATTGGACTGGGTTTCTTTTGTCTTGTTCTCCTAAGGTGTGCGGGATTTTTGTTCCAGAAAGTCGGAAAGCTTGCAGCAACTGCAGTAGGTGGTGGCTTTCTTCTGCTTCAAGTATGTAGCGTTTCGTGCTTTATAAGTTGGCAAATGTTATTTACTAAACAATAGGAAAAACACAGCTGTTGGATAAAATTTAATTAGGAAGGCTTCTTATCTACTTCCTCTTTTTAGTCTTTATCAATCAAAACCTTACATTTCAGCTGGAATGTTGTGTAAGACAAAGATGTTTCTAAAAATCGGTGGTAAATCAGAATCTACTCTGTCCTGTAAAATTGTTTGTAGTAGGCCAAACGAAACCTTTGTGCAGAAACTGAGATCCTCTATGTGATTCAGTATTGCCAGGTTAGAGGGACTGTCTGTAAACCTATGGTTAGGGAGATCAAGGAATTTAAACTGTATTTATTTTAAATAGGTTTGAGAATTTTATCTGTGCTTTAGTAGGCTGCTTTGGCCGTTGCTTGGAGGGTGTGCTCTGGTCCTGTTATGAGGCCATGTTTTTTCTCCCCATGCTGTATTAACTAGTTATGTCTGTTGAACCTCTGAAGTTTGGCTGACTTCTGATGGCTTCATTGCATTCCTCTGTTCAATTGGATCTCAAGTCCAGAAGTTTTTAATGATGTTACCTGACATGACCATTTGCATTTTTCATCAGATATTGTGGTTAGGGGAGGGCATATTTCCAAAAAGCCTTTAAATTAGCTGAAGGAACTTTAAGTGAAGGAGAATTTCACATATCCTTCTGTAAGATGCCAAGTAATTGTTATTTTTTTTACTGGCATTTTTCATGTCTTACTGGCTGTGAGCTTCTCATTTTTCCTCAAATCATTCTAGAGGAAATAGACTGGTGCTTACTTAGGTTCATGCAAATCATATACCAGTTTTTGAGGCAGGAATTAAAGATTTATTTATTTATTTATTTATTTATTTATTCTTTCCAACATCACCCTGGAGGGTTTCTGAAAAGCACATCCCACTTTTAGTTAGTTATTTGATTGTAATGGCTGTTGCAGTCAACCATTGATCAGGGAGGCTTGAGTAGTACCTCTGATTGCTGCTGTGTAATGCAGCAAAATGTCACATAATGTATATTTCTGGATCTTGAAGAAAGAATTAAATCTTATATATATATTTGCACCGCAGATCTTTAAGTACTTGTCATGCTTTTCATCTAGTTGACTTAAAGATCAGAGTCTCTCTTCCCATATTGTATGCCATTGGCCTTAATTCTTTTAATGACAGTTCTTGGCTAAATATGGCTGAAGAGCGTACAGAACAGAGGCCTGGCATCCAGGGGTAGCAGGCAGCATGTTGCCTGCAGGTGCCTTCATTAGTACTTGTGACTACAGGAAGCTAAAAAGTTAAAACTAAGAGCTATAGACAAAGGAAAATAGAAATTGCTTAAAACACATAACTTGTGTGCAGTGGTTTTGCTTGTTGAGCTGTGACGTTTGGGGAGCATTCCTGTGCATAAAACAGATTTGCCATGTGTTTGAGTGTCTGATTTCTTAGTTGATCTCATTTACAGTGGGAATATTATCCAAGAGGAAAAATGAGTTGCATATTTTGATTGAGTTGTCTGTATCTTTAATTAAGTAAGATCAAATTCTCTTGGAAGGGAATGAAGTAAATGCCTTGGTCTTTCATTTTAATTCAAAACGTTTTGCATTTTAAAGCTGAGTCATAAATTCTATAGTGTAATTACATTTCTGCAGTCTTTAATTTTTTCATTTAAAGATCACACATCGTGATTTTAATTTCACTATGAATACATGTTCAGCACTTCCCCTGAGTGGGCAGAAGAGCATTTCAGCACATGACTGGAAACTTCCTTTTTATCTGTAAATTTCTCTGAAGTTGCAGATTTCATTTCAACTCCTGATTGCAATATTGACGTTGTAATTACCTGCTAAAACAAGAAGAACTACAGAAGGCAAGATTCTTGGCTCGAGCCCATTCAGTGAAACATTTCAGTCCTGAAACTAAAAAAAAACCATGCATTTTTTTCTTCAACGTGTGATGACTTCATCTCAAGAAATCTAGTAGGAAACCAAAACCAGTGCATTTCTGGAGTGTCAGTTTGTACGACAAACAAAAAAGATTTTTCAGATTTTTGTAAGTGATCTAGAAATTTTTCAGTCTTAATACAGATTAAATGAAAAGTAGTCTGAGGAAGAGAATGAAAATGACATTAAGGAATTTGCATAGTTTTTAAAAATTAATATCTGTTATCACATGTTTGTGCTGGATATGTCAACAGCTTAATTTGATCAATTAACTGTCCTTTTTATTGAAATAGATGTAGCTCTTCAAATATGCTGGTATAAGACCAATACCCATGCACTATGTTAAGGAAAATACAATTCATTTCTCATAGCAAGTAGTTTATACAGTACAGAGTTTAGTGAAATCCTGAAGAGTAGGGAAGTATGAACTCATGTGGTTCTGCTATAATGGATTAGTTAAAAAACAGTTGTTCTAGATTAAAGTGTCTGTTTTCTCTGTGTTTTTAAGCTCCTGTATCTTTACTAATGGTTTCATTGCTTTTTGCTCTGCAGTCAACATACAAATTGCAGGTTTTTCCATTGTGTGTTGACTATTATTTAATCATAAAATCGTATTTTTGTTCGGTTATTTTTGCCTTCAATAATATACTTTGCCACATTCCATTAGCACAAATTCAACTCTTCATTAAATTATTTTCTAACTGAAGAAAAGTAAATCTTTGAAAACAACACAAGAAGCAAAATATACTCTACGATATCCTTGGCTATATGTTGTTACGGGGGTTTGTTGATACATGCCATGATGATGTTGTGGCATCTCGGCGAAGTGGGGAGAGAACAACGTGCTTTTGGGGGTGGTGACTAGTAAGGAAGAGTTGTATTCAGTTTTGTGTGGAATATCCCACTTCACAGTTGATGTCCGCAGACTCTGAGGGAGCGATCAGTGGAACAGCCAAAGCAAATGGTAGTTGGAAGTTAACCTTTCAAAGAAATACCAAATTTCTGGCAGGTTTCGACATGAAATGGAGGGGCATCGTTTCTCTGCCTTGGTAAATTGGAGTAGTTTCGCTGGTTACAGTGGAGCTGTGCCAGCAGATGGTGGCTGAAAATACAGCCTCTGCGGTTTAACTCTTACCAAAAAAATGTTGTATCGTTTCTCAGTCTCTTCTTATCTGTATATTCAAGTTAGAGACTTGCCAGATCTGTTCTGGAAACTGGTTGGGTGTGATGGGGGTTGCTACCTATCTAAATACTGGAAAATACCTAGAAGCGTATGTGGCTTCTGTGTGCTGCACAAGCAACTGAAGGCAGGGAGCTCACCTCTCTACCTTCCGGGCTTGGTTGGGCCTTTTTAGTATGAGAGTTCTTGTGTTTGAGGACAGTAAAACTCTCTTGCCCACCTTGCCATATAATTTTTTTGTTCTTCAGTGTTTTTTGCTCTTTACTCTTAAAAACTTCTCACAATAACAAAGTGCTTGCATGCCTCTCCAGTATCATTCCCAAAATGAGGTCTTCCCCTTAGATCTCTATTCTCTTTGATTAGTTGTAGAGAGATATGCATGTATTTTACTATGCTTGACTTATGGGGGTTTTTTATTGCCTTTTTGGAAAAAAAACATTTTTTCAACAGTTCAAGAAGATCTTGAACAAAAATTAATTTTTGCTAATGTGATATGTGAGAGAGATGTATATACTATATAGACATTATTCTACGATCATATATACATATATAGACAGATTTCTGTGTATAGAGAGACACACACAACCCTACATGGCTCTTTTTACAATATATATGAGTACAGACCTATAGGACTTTAATATATAGAAGTACGGAACTGATAATGGAATATTATTATTTCAGTTTCTCTGTTATTGTAGGGGCTGGGTTTAAAAATACTGATGAACTTTAAGAATTTGTGTTTATGTAAATTCACTGCTGTAAGCCAATAGGTTTTTTAAGATGTGTTAGGGTCTAAAAATTGAAGTCTGTCTCGCCAACATGTGAGGTCAGTGAAATTATTTCTGTGCTTACATAGAAAGTTATATAATTAGTAGGACCGCAGCCAAAGTAGATGTGACACAGGCTCTGACTATCACTGCAGTGAAGTACAGTTCCAGCTTTTTATTTCTTTTTTTCTTCTCGGTTATAAATTTCATATTCAAAACCTTGTCCTCTCTTGCTTATTTCATGTTTGTGTACAAAAACTCAAAAGCAGAACTTAAGATTTCTGCTACTTAGTTCAGGGAGAAAAGTAGTATAATTTTTATTGTGTAAACTGGAGTTTTATACAAATGTAAGTTGTAACTACTGGAGAGCTAAATGGAGCTTAATTAAAAACTTCTGCCTCATCCTTGTACTGTATGGATAACTGAGCTAATTAAACTAGTCTTAATGAAATGTTTCTTTAAAGTCCCATTTGTTTATATTTTTTTACAACCTTCAAGCAAGCAAATATTTTAGCATTTCTTACATTGTGTTGGACTGGGTAGGTCACTCCTTATTTAGTTTTCAGTTTTATGAGTTAGAAGGCACCAATTCCACACATAGGCCTTTTTGAAATTCTTGTGGTAATGTTAAATTTCTAATATAAAAATTACCCCAAGACGCAACATTTTTTTTCCTGGTATGTCATCCAATGACTTGTTCATGTTGTCATACTGTATAGACAGTTTTTAATTAACTGTCCCTGCCTAGCAGTAGTGCCTGTGTGGGTAAGTGGTGTTACAACAGACAGGCAAGGTCAAAGAATTTGTTGTATTCTGAGGTATGAAGTTAAGGAGAGTATATTTACTAAGCTCATTTTGCATTTGTCCAGTTAATTGTTTTTTAAATCTTGTTCAAAGACAGAAACTGAAGTTTTCTTTCTTACGGAGGTGGTGTTCTAGGAGCTTTGCTTAGGAACTTCAGTTTAGACAAAAACTGCCTGATGCTTGCTTCATTTTAGTTTGGGGTTTTTTTCAGAATCATGAAATTCTTATTTGCGGTGAAATACGGTGCTTAATTACTGGACCTGTTGTTTTAAAACAAGTTAGATGGTCTAATTTTAGTTATTTGGTAGAAAGAACTACGTGAAAAATAAAATTCGGTGCCTGTGAGTGACATCAAACATTTCTTTTTACCCCATACCAAATAAATTATATGTTTAAATATCTTTCCCATGAAACTTCATTAATTGTGAATTTTATTTACTAGTTGTACCATTTGCATAGAACACTCTTACATAAGTTACATGAATTTGCCAAACATGACCTTAAGAAGAAAATCAAGAGAAATATCATTCCTCATAAACTGTTTTTTGTGTAACAGTCATTTACCCTTAAATGTAGTGGCCTGTATCTATTTGTTTTAGCCGTTAAAAAAAGCAATAATCCTCAGTTCTGATTTTTCCTCTTTTTCTTTTTTCCAACTAATGAGTTGTTTAATGGTTCTCTAGAGCATGCATGTGGTAATTGCTTTTTTTTTTTTAAGCTATGATCTTAAAAAAATTTATGTTTTTCTTATGTTAATTGTCTTAAGGAAATTGGTGAGACTGTCAGTATTGGTCAAGTAACAGAACAGCTTACTTTTTTCCAGGATAAAATCTTAGTAAAAGAAATAAGGCAAAGGGTTGGGATGACGGTTAAACATGCTAAAGATCTCATGGATGTTGTTTAAGGGTTTCGGGAGTTTGAGTGTAAATTGGTGCCAACAATCCCCCAAAACTTACCCGTTTTGCTGATGTTACTGAACTTGTGCTGTATGAAGGCCATGTTATTTTTCTACTTACTGGTTTTGTAGAATGTAAGAGAATTCTCTTGGATTAAATACTTTTTTTTTTTTCTTGGACAGTTTAAATGACGTAGGATAAAATAATAATTTTCAGTATTTCTAGGGATGATTCTGATTAGTCCCAAAAATCCTGTCACAAATCAGAATTCCACAATTGTGAAAGAAGCTGAAATGAAACAGTTTTCATTGTTGTCCTATGAACATGCTTTTCTTTTTCCTTTTCTTACAAGTTACAGTAAATGCTGAAGTAAAAATATTGTTATTTAAAGCTTTTATAACTAAACAAGAGAGAAGAGGTAAAATTAACAGTAGTCTACTGAACTTTGTCAATGCTTGTTCTAATTTGAATTGTTGTTACTGTGGAAAATACTAGTGTTTGAAGCAGAATACCTGATGTGTTTGGCATAATATCTTTTACTATATCTGTAATTTAAAAAGAAAAAAAAATTAAAAATGTGTAGGCACTAAGATACTGTATTTTGACTCATAAAATGTTAACTGCAACTGTACTAAATGCCCCTTATTTTCCTAGATTGCTAGTCATAGTGGATATGTACAAGTTGACTGGAAGAGAGTTGAAAAAGATGTAAACAAAGCAAAAAAACAGTTAAAAAAGCGTGCAAATAAGGCAGCACCTGAAATCAATACTCTCATTGAAGAGGTAAGTCTAAGGTGATAAACTGTTTTCTACCATTTGGTTTTTCTTAACTTCCACAGCAGGTGATGATTAGATTGAAAACGCAGGTGCAAAACTGGGAGGCATCAGAAATGGTCTGGCTGTTTATTTTATTAAAAGTTACGAGACTGTACTCTCTTTTATTTATTTAGCTTTCTGTTTCGTTAAAGATGACACACAAACTTCAAAGTTAATGCATTTCTACAGCTGATCCAGCGTAGGGACTGCCATTGGCTTTGCCGTTTAGTCTGTGCAGATCCTTGGCTAATGAGAACGCAGTAAGGTCATGGCACGGTAAAAAGTTGAGGGTGTTGTGGTTAAAACATGGTAGCTGCAAAGACAAAACCCAAATCTTCTTAGTCTGCTGATAACAAAATTGCTTGGTTGGAAAAGACTGGCCTTTCTCTCTGGAGAAAAGCTATAACCACTTCATAACTAGGGTTGTGGTTTTTATCTCATTTTTGTACAGTTTGAAGAATATCTCTTCGGAATCTGTCAGTTACATACCATGTTGAGAAGAGGCAGCCTGTGATACTGATCGGTGTCGCTGAGGCTGTTTCATTCTGTCATTTGAAGACTTTATTTAATCTTTTTAGCCTTTAAAAAAATTATGTTTAGCCTGGTTTTACAAATTTTCAAATTTCATATGATCTAAGTTTCTTTTTCAGTAACTGTGAACCCTGATGTGGAATATGTTGCAGACAGTGTAACAGCAGCCACACTAGAGCTCTGTAATTAAGGGGTTTGATGTCTCAGATTTAACCTGTATGGAGTTGCACATCGGTTGATTAAAAACTACCTCAGATTTTAATGTGAATGTTAAGTGGAAGTTCAAGAGAGATGGTTTTCTAGCTGCTTCTGTACCCTAAATACCTTAACCTGGCCTTCTCCATCGTCCTGCAGAAATGGGTGGGACAGTATGGGGGTTTGGGTTGTTTCCTTTTTCTCTTTCTCTTTTTTTTTTTTTTCTTTTTTTTTTCTTCTTCTTCCAGATTATGTTACTTTCTTTACTCTGTGCACTGGTAGCCAATCTGTAGTGTTTAAATGGAGGATTTACAAAATGGCACGTGTTTGATATAACATGTTATACTCTCTGTGCTGTTGCTTAATGAAATACTGAATACAAATGTCATCATACCCAAGTGTTTTTTGTAGCAGTAAGTTTTTAGGAAACTGGCTCATAATGGAGTGAAGTGCGTTTCTTTTTCAATGGTCTAGTCTTCCAAAAAACCAGTATTTTTTAAAAAAATTCTTTCATGTGATTAAAATTGAAGTGATGGTAGTGCTCATGCTTTTTTGCCAAGGGAGTAAAAATTGTCTTGTTTTAATCAAAATGAGTGGTATTGGCTTGAAATTGCTAGGACAATGCCTCTGTATTTTGACTTCTAAAATGCTAACTGTATTTTAAATATATTGTTAAAGATGGCTGAGAGTCAGTTTTCGCTCCATTGGTGCTAGCAGTTGCCATCTAGCTTTATATGTTTTTAAACACATTGCTTCCTCCCCCTCTGTAATTTTAGTATTCTTGTTCCCAGGCAATTGTGATAAGTATTAAATGCTACAGTCAGACACGAGTGATTCAGTTCCTTACGAATATTATTTTTTCTTCTCAGTCAACAGAATTTATCAAGCAGAACATCGTCGTGTCCAGTGGATTTGTCGGAGGCTTTTTGTTAGGCCTGGCATCGTAAGGACCAGAATCGTCAGTTCCCGACGGCATTCATGTCAGCAAAGAACGGTTGTGGTGACACGCGGTCTTAAAGCAGTGTGGCTCACCGGGCCTTCCAGAGCATGGACAAGCGGACTAGCTAGACAATTTGGAAGCTTTTACATTTCAGGCTTTTGCCTCTCGAAGCTTGGCAAAACTAGGATTTGCTGAAAAACTGTGCAGTGTGCTCATTATAGCATTTCTGGGCAAAACTGGTTCATCTTCATCATGACTCTTTTTATCTATGGCCTTTCAAGATCTAGCATTTTTTAAAAATGTTATTCTTGGAATATAGATATGTAACCATACTGTAAGAAAGCAAGCTCCATTTCTATGTTTTCAGTTAGATACTGTTTATTTTAAAAGTATTTTTCTTCATGCTGTAGTAGGTAGTACCGATGAGTACATAATGTATATGATCCTGTAGTTTCAGCCTCATGGCTGCCCATGTTCTTTAGAAGTCACTGCAATAATCTATCAATCTGTAATACCTTTTTACAGAGTATTAAATAACAAAGAATCATGAGCTTATTAAAGGTGAAAATTAACTTTGGCTCTGGCCTTTGTGTACATAGAAAATAAGAAAGTCTCAAGTTTACGGCCTGCAGGCATCTGGTACAAGTATTTGCAGAGATACTTGCGATATTTGTGTGCTAAGTAAATGTGCAGATGTTATTTCTCCCAGATGCATAGACAGGCATAAACTCATTGACAGAACCGTAGTACGCGGATCATCGCTGCAAGCGCAGACTCCGCAGTGGTCTGATGCTTAGCTGTTTCATGGAGCTGGTTTCAGACCTCGGGAGCTGGCGAGATGAAGGGAGGAGACTTCTGCCTGAGCACTTGGCAAGGGCCAGCGCTCCGTAGGGCTTGACAGCCCGCTGGCGCAGCGTGCCTGGGGCGAACCAAAGGCTGCTCACGCAGTCCCGTTTCAGCTGGAAATAGTACTCGCTTTCATACCCACCTCTGCCGCCACTCTGTTCTCCCCAGCTGAGACGTAATTTTTTTTTTTTTTTTAAGTTGTCGTTCCGTTTGACTTTCACCATCTAGCGTGTCAGCTGTGGCAAAAAGGAGGGTACAGGTTGGCTTCAGTTAGCTGAGTGGAAGAGTGCCTGTTTCTTGGGAAGTCTGGGAAAGCAAGTGGGACTTAATCTGCTCGATGTGTTTGCTGCCTCTGCCTTTGACGGATCAAGGCAGGAAGCGGATGCTAAAGGGGATTGGAGGCATAACTGTGGCTGGGCTGGAAAATTTATTGTGAAGTAAGTTTTTAAGGTGGTTTTGGTAATTTGTTACTAGGTTATTCCAAAGAAGTTGAGAGTCCAAACAAATGCTTAATGCGTTTTTCTGCATTTCAAACTTGTGAACCTTTTAGAAGTTTCTACCCAAGAAAAAGACTGTTTTGCTCTGCCCTGATTTATTTATTTATTTGTTTATTAAACTGTACCAGCAAGTTAATGTGAAATGGAGTCTCTCTCGCGCAGGTTCTGTTGGGTCCTTGTTCACATGCCTGAACCACAACAGAGGTTCATTAGCATCAGGTGGATGGATGTGAACTTGTGATGTCGAGGACATGGGATGAACATCCACCAGCAGGGCTGTACGTGGAAGGCGTCTGACATAGGAACCTGGCACGTATTCCGATCAGGGCACCTGTGGGCTTCAGCGATCCGTGTTACACGCTGACTTCGCACATGCGTGCTTCTGGCCAAGGTGAGCAAGTAACAAAGCACATCATGCAGATCCGTGAGGTTTATGGCTTTAATTTAGCTAAAGCCCGTTTTGTTTTGTTTACGTCTTTGCCGTATTGTTCAGTCCGAAGGATAACGGGAAGGTGCCCGGTCAGCTCTCTTCTGCTGATGAATCTGATGGATTTTTTTGGCCTGTCCAAAGTGTTGCTGAAGCCAGTTGACGGGAGTCACCCACCCTGACTGGAATGAACTCGGGCGTTCTGATGGGCTTTAGGAATGAAGTGACCCCCTCTGTCGCGTGAACCCCTAAACTGGCGGTTTTAGAAAGGGCCTGCTCTGTGAAAGGATTTCAAGTGCGCTTGCTAAAAAGGCTGCTCCTGTGACCAAGGAATACACCTCATGGCTAAAAGTAGAACTAAAAAAAAAAAAAAAAGAAGCCCCATCAACTTGCATAGTAGTACGCAAGACCGATTTCTGCAGAGGAAAGCTGTTCTGCTATTCTGTTGCTGTTACCTGAGGTTTTCGGTCAGGCAATGAATAAAGAAGTGATTGAATGAAATACATGTGGGGGTCTTGTTATTATTTTTTGAAGCCTTTGGAATAAGAAGTGTGCGGTTGTGGTAGACGTAAAACTGTCTGAGGGACCAAAAAAATGGTATAATTGAAAAGGGGAGCAGTGGTGGTTTGTATTAGGATTGGCCTTACGTGAAGCATTCGTGACTTGAGGAGAAGAATGACTGCTGGCACAGCAGCATTTGCTAAATTTTCTGATACAGTTCCTTAGGTTGGTGAGGTAGACGGGATGCTACCAGGCACTACAGCTAGAACTGACAGGGCGAGGAGATGGTGGAGTGGCAGAGTTTGATAAATACAAAGCACCGAGACAAGTAAATGCAGCTTTTCTTGCAAATACCTGAGATGTTACATGCGTCGGCTCAGAGTATTGCACATCACTGTACAGGAGGGAACGCTCTATAAAGTTGTGGTCAGAAAAACGGGTGTTGATGGGATTATCGAGAATGGAACGGAGCATAACAGAAATGCTGGTGGTAAGTTCTTCTCTGGAATGATTTCAAAGTTACTATTACACTATTACACTCTGAGGAAAAACTAATGCAGGCTAAGAAGATTCAGAGAAGGGTGAAATAAAGATGGAAGGAAGTTGGGGTTTTTTTGAAGAGCATTTTTTGGGGGGAAAAAACGAGCATGCATTTTAGAAAGCAGGTGATTAAGAAGGAAAGTGTTAGAAATATGTGAATCAATGAAAGGCATTCTGTGCATTCCTGTGCTTTTGATCACGTAGCTGAAGAACTTAACTGGAAGGTGGGAAAGGTGAACCCAGCACAGGGGAACACCTTTTCTCATGGGCATGATTGGTCCCTGCAGCTCCTTGGCGCTGCGTGCTAATGAGACCAGGGAACAGGCTCCGCTCGGGGAAAGGTGGGGCAAGGCTCAGCTAAATTGCAGGAGTGCTCGGTGACACCTAAAGACACGAGGAAAGCAACTTTTATGTTTCTCTGGCTGCAGCTAATACTGCTTGGCAAAGTTCCTGATAAAATCATTCTAGTGATCGGATTATCCTACCTTTGCCTTCGACAGGCTTGTATATTTTTTTTCCTTCAAACAGCTGTTACCAGTCCCTTCTCAACGTCGGCTACCAAGGTAAATGATTGACTGAGGCACACTGTATATCCCTCTGTAGTTAACAGCTGTTGAAAGTTTGCTACATAATGAGTTTGGGGAGAGAGTGCTAATAAATCATCTATTTGTTTCGTATTATCTTAATGGGATATTCCATTTTCTGAAATTATTTCTTGTTAGTTAAAGCCACATTGGGCAATAAGTTTTAACTTAAAGTGAGATGACTGGTTGGTCAAAACCAGTGTGATCTCATCACTGAATTTTAAGAGGCCACAATTGGGCTAAATCTTTGGAGGCTGTTTCTGGTTTAGTAGCCAGACTGAAAATGAAAATATTGTAGTGAAAGATACAGCTGCCTGCTAGATCCAAGTGCGTTTGTCCTGAGGTCTTAAGAAGGGAGATGCATACAGAGTAAAATGGAGAAGTCAATAATGCAATTCCAAATTGATGCCTGTGCACATTCCATAACATACGTAGCATATGGCAATGTCAAGAAGCATCAGTAATGCCTCCTCCTAACCTTTTGAAAATTTTTGGAAATAATCAAAGTAAGACTTTCTTGTAGCATGCAGTGGCCTGCATGCGGTCTGTAGGCGACAGTGGAAAAAGATAATGTTTACCCCGCTTCACCACAACTAGAACTAGGTGACATTCTGGAAGGGAGATTGATCATTTTAAAAAAAAAAAAAAAAAAAAAAAAAGTGGGGTTTGGTCACTCTAGGACTGTGTGTGGGGCAGGTGGGGGGAGAAGGACTAGAATCAAATCTGCCAAGAGCAGGAGGTTTCATCCTGCCTTGTCTTTTGCGTTGCAGTTCAAAAATTAGACAGGGATGATCAACTTAAAAAGCTGTTTTTTTCCCTTGTCTGCAGATCTGATGCAACGTGGTGATGTCCCAGTACTGGGACAAATGGAAAAGTTGATATTTGTTATTTTGGGGCCATTTGGGAAGCGGGTGGAGGGTTCTTGACTACTGAGACAGCTGACATTCATCAGGACCTGTAAGACTGGAAGCCAATTTTAATTAAGATAATTGGGGGGTTGTTGGCACAAAGCATCCAGTGCTGATCCAGCACAGCCTGAAACCTCAGTCGGATTGATTACAGCCAGGATGTTTTGCTGGCTGTTTGGCAGGATGCTTACCTGAGAACTGGAATATATCCTTACACATCTCATCCTTGACACGAGAGGTTTTGGCTCCACTGTCAAACCCCCACAAAATCAACTGCTCACAGCCTGTAAAAAAAACCCCATTTCTGCATATGTGCACTGTATATTTTAGAAAGGGATGATAGGAAATGCTAACATCCACAAAGGAAATCGGGTATTGAAGCATACCGCTCCCATTTAACATAGCTACTTTGAACTTTCATCGCAACAAGAGGCTATCTACATACACTTGCCAATACTCACTCACGGGACCTAGAGAATTAAGAGCCAATGTATCTAGTGTGATCTTTAATTAAACATCTTACTTCCTTGAAGTACTAATTGTGAAGTAAAGGTTATGCTGTTTTCTCATGTGTTTAACGGGCAACAAACTCATACTGCAGCCAAATACACAGATTTTTATTTTCAGATTTCAAATCCTCTCCAGTGAGACAAACAAAATGCTTTGATAGTTGGTGTTGCACAGACAGAAATCTAAGCCAAAACACCTCTGAACAAATCTGTAAATATAAGAAAAACCTGCAGATGTATGAAAGGAATGTATAAAAAACAAGCGTTGCCAAATATTGTTTCAGAATCCACTTGGGACACTAAAGAGGAGTGAAAATTAACAGCGATAAGGCAGTCTATATTTTAATGCTCCTGTAACTGTGCGATTGTTAAAGTTAAAAATATTGAGAAATTGCCTTTTGAAACATTATTTTTTTTTCCCTATTCCTATGGTATCAGATATGATGCTTAATTTCCAAACTTAAAAGCTTCTTGTGCCAGCTAAATTGCACGCTGGCTCCTGTAGGAGCTTTGTTTTGAGGCTGCTTGTGCGAGTAAAGCTAAGCATATGCTTCAATGAGTAACTGGTTTGTATATGAAGGCAAAGGCAGAACACACGTGGGAAGCAATATACGCGTTTTTTCTCTTTTCATGTTGTTACAGGAATCTCTAGTTAGGCTTTGAGACCCTCGGGGAGCCTGCAGAGAATCAGAAAACCAGGGACTATGCAATGGGTAGGAGTTGAAGGGAAGGCACAAGAAGTGGAATTGGTCTTTCTGAATATGGGTGTTGAGCAAGGTACCCTACGGCCTGCTTATACAAATGAAAGGAAACGGGCATTTCTGTGGCAATTTTACCTTAGTCTAAAATTGACATCTGCAGTGGCTCAGAAGAACCTGACCGAGAAGGACCCACTTTTCCTCACTGCTTTTAAAGGCAGCCCTGGCCGTGACGCGCTCACCTGTAGGTACTGAAGGTTGGGTGAGATGAATTCCATGAAACACATTTGAACTGCCAAGGGCATGAAGGACGAGAAGGTTATTTACCGAGGGCAAATCATGCTTGCCTGGCCTGTTCTCCTTCTCTGATGAAATGACTGGCTATAGAGAGAAGGGAAGGCTGGTGGAGTGGGCTCTTTTGTGGGCTGAGAACTGCCTTCACTGCCAGGCCCCAAGGGCAGCGATCAACGTCTTGGGGTCCAGCTGGCAGTGGTAACAAGCGGAGTACCTCAGGGACTGCTGCTGCATGCATGTTGTTCAATATCTTCACCAAAGACCTGTGTGATGGGCCAAGATGCCGCCCCTTAACGAATCTGTGGGTGACACCAAACCAGGAGAGGCATTTGGCACGCTCAAGTGCCAAGCTTCAATTCAAAGGCAAAGCTGGGGAACTTGAGCACTGCACAAAGAGCAGTCTCGCGGAGTTCAGCAAGGAGAAGCAGAAAGTCTGGTGCCTGGGGCAGGTTAACCCCATAGGCAGGCACTGGGCGAGTAGCAGCTATGCTGGAAAGGGCATGGAGGCTATGGTGGACCTCAAACTGAATTTGAATGAACCCCGCACTTTCACTGCAAATGAAAGAAGTCACGTACCGAGGCAGCTTAGGAGGGGCACGGTCAGCAGTTATGGAAAGTTGTCATTCACCTGTCTGTACTTAGCGCTGGTGAGGCCACACCTGGAATACTGTGACCACTTTTGGGCCCTCTAGTTCAAGAGGGATATGGAGAAATAGGAAAGGGTCCAGAGGAAAACACGTACACTGATTAAGGGTGAGGCCTAGGAAGCTACAAGGGGACCTGAGGTTGTTGAGCCTGGGGAAGAGGAGGCTGAGGGGCAATCGGAGGCAGCCTACAACTACTTGAAGGGGTGTTACAAAGATGATGGAGCCAAGCCCTCCTCAACAAGGGGCAGCAGGCACAGGCTGTGGCTTGGGAGGGTCGCACTGGACATTGGCAAAAGCTCTTCCACCAGGAGGGAGGTGCAGCACTGGGACAAGTCACCCAGGGTGGGTGTGGGTTCTTCCTCCTCAGGGGCTACAAGGTTTGGCTGAACAAAGCCACAGCTGACCTGACCCAGTGTCGATGGCCAACCATCCTGCTGTGAGCAAAAGGCTCCAGTGGGCCCATTCAGGCAGCACATCTGTGGGACCGTAAAGGTAGGCGTTATCCCACTCGGCTCCTTAGTCTCTCTCCTGGGCTTAGCCTTGTGCTCCTGCACATCTGAATGTACATCATAAATGCTCCCTG